TAAGCTGGTGTCCCCTCAGGACTGGAGATCAGAAACCATCTCCCACCTCTGGGTAGGGGGCTGATAGCTGTGAAGAGGGTTCAGGCAGAAAGATTTAAGGCTCAACAACTACATTTGGACGCACATCTCTAAGCACCATGCTGGGGATGTTTCCATCTGGGAAACAGGAGATTTGATTACTCTGCCGTCAGGCAGCAGAGGCCTCTTGGACTGGCGGGCCGTAGGGCTTTCGTGAATATTTTATGGATGCGTGTCAATGTATCCTACTTTTCCTGACGGAAAACTCAGGAACAGAGAACACCTCTTTCATTGACAGGTAAAAACGATGCAGCAGTGTCCCCGCCACCTTCTCTGTGTGCACATCACAAGATGGGCAGACCATAGGGGGTCTGGCGGTGGCTACCCACCATGTGACCCACGGACCACAGGGCTGCACCACCGAGCACAGCAGGCCAACTAGACACTCCTCAGAGCCTAAAAACAGCGTTCTGGATAAAATGTCTTTCTTTGTCTTTTGGAAATCAGAAACCTGAGATGCCAGGTCACCTACCCATATTCAAAACTAGCCCTTAAATATGTAATGTGGGGCAGGCACAACTACACTGGTTTGGGGGCAAAGGAAATAAAAAATACAACACAGGTCAGTTGTCCAGGAGCTGCAGATGTCCCTTGGGTCTTAACTCACCTGTCCCCCGCGAGTGGCTGAAGTCGCCCTTCACCACGCGGCAGGTCTTGCCGTCCCCACTGCAGACCCCACACCGGTCTTCTTTGGCCGCTGACCCGATGATGCCATCACAGCCGATTTTCTAAACAACCAGAGAGCTAGAGGTGAGTCTGTGTTTCAGACTCAGTGGGGTGTCTCACGAGGATGCCCTGTAGGGCAACTTTTCCTTTGGGCCCAGCAGGCACGGTGCCCGGGGCCCACGACACTTTCAGAAGCCCAAGGAAATATTTTATTTTAAAACCAGAAGAGGGGAAAAACTGAATAGGATCCAGCTTGTATTATATTTGTCATAATACCCACATAGTCATCACCCTGAGGCCTGACACCCCAGCCCCTCTAGGGCTGCCTGAGGTAGGGAGTAGTCAGTTCCCACACACCACCCAGCGTGGCCACCATTTCACATGACTCATGTTCACCTCGGGGCTCTGTGGGCCACCTGGTTCTTGGAATAACCAACAGTCTCAGAAAATACAGCAGAAACCATACTGGCTCTTTTGCAGAGGTCCGCATGCCCAGAGCTCATCCACACAAGGCTGGGGAGACCCATCTCTCAGGGAAACCTGGCCCAAGGAGAGCACCCCATCTCTCAAACCTTCTCAACAAGGCTTGTTTGAGGGCAGAGGAGGGTAGCACTGACCCCGGGTGGCTCCAAGCAGCATAGCCCATGTCAGTTTCCAAAAAGCGGGGAAAGATTGTGATTGTATTTTTCCTTAAAAAAAAAAATGCACAAGAATTTTGCAGTCTGCAAAGTAACATGCCTAAGTGTATGTGCCAGTAAACACCAGGCGTTTAATTATTTACCTGTGAAATTGCAGAAATGCCCCCACACGTTTTTCCTCCCTAACGCACACACTTTCAGAACAAGGACTGGAAGTTGTCCCCATGGTCCTGTATGTTAGGTCTTCGTGTCAGGCTACAGAGGATTCGACAGGCAGGGAAACCAGGCAGCAGTGACAGTTCTCTGCTGTCATGCCTGGGTGGATTCTCGCAAGGTGCTGCCCCCACAACCCTCTTACACCCCACTCCCTCCTCAGAGACAGGGAGTGGAGCAGAGCTGGCTGACAGCGGACTTCCTAGAGGAGAAAACTCAGCCCCAGGGTCACCAATGTCATCAGCACCCTCTGCTTCATAACCGCAGTTGTTCTTCAGTGTTAAAGTGTACCTATGTCCCCAGGATGACTGTTAGGACACAGCCTGCTCGGTCCCACCCCAGACCTGACCCAGCTGGTCGGGGTGGGCCTAGGAATGTGCATTCTAACAAGTTCTCAGGTGCTGCTGGTGCTGTCGGCCTGGATAGCACTCTGAGAAGCGTAGCCCTCTGGGGGGCTGGGTGAAAACTAGATAGTCCCCAAGTCTCACCCTTGGAGACATTTCTTTGGGAAGGAATCATGTGTACAAAAACAAAAGTGTAACCAGATATATTTTGGCAAACACGTGAAGGTATGCTAAGTGGTAAACAAGTTCAGTCCAAAAATGACCAGGATGGAACTGATAAACAACAGTATGTTAGAAAAAGCAGCTCAAACTTGTTCAAAGTTAGTACAAAAATAGGTAAAGGGCAATACTGGGGGCTTTTGTGGCCAGAGGTCAGGCAAGGAGTGAATGGAGATGAGAGGACTTAAAGCAGCGGTTCTCAACCTTTCACAGGGGTCGCCTAAGACCATCGGAAAACACATATTTTCGATGGTCTTAGGAACCGAGACACAGCTCCTCTATCCGTCTCCAGGCGGGTCCGCCCACATGCAGATACGCCCACATACAAGTACCCGGCGACCCCTGTGAAAGGGTCATTCGACCCCCAAAGGGGTCACGACCCCAGGTTGAGAACTGCTGACTTAAAGGAATGGGGGAGACTTAGGTGATACATGGTATCCAGAGGGTAACGGGCATCGACTGTGACACCATGCCAGGGCAGGCAGGCCACTTAAGGTTGACCAGCTATAACGGGGCACCCTGAGCCTGGAGCATGTTGCAGGGGCCGCCTGGATCCGTGATCTGGGCTGCTGGTGGTCACTGTGAAGTTGTTCGGTATAAAATGACAGGGGTGGGCTGGCCTGCGTGGCGCGTTGGTTAAGAGCTGGCTTGGGACGCCAGCTCTGAGCAGCAGGGCCCCGGTTCAGATCCCACATGAGGGC